ACACACACACACACACACACACACACACACACACACAGCTTACTGAAAACAAACTTCAAAGCCATCGTCTAGGAAAAGCCCTGAAGGCAGCTTTTCTGTCCTAGCTCCAAACCCCTCCTCCCGGCAGCCTCCCGGGAAGGGAGACCTGGCCTGGGGCGGGAGGGGGGGAGGTGGTTCAGGTACTTCTTTCCTCTGGCTCTCTTGGGCCTCTTCCTGGCATTAGTGCCTTGGGGCACTGATGTTCCTCTCCCTGTGGAAGGCAGCCCAGGCCATGCTCGTGGTTAGATGGGCACTAAGAGGGACCCTGCCCTTTCTCTACTCTGCCCCAGCCCCCCTCTCCCACCACCTCCCCCACTGCTCTGCCCCACGTAGGGCCTCTGCTGGGAAACCTTCCGGGCTTCTGTCTGCCTTCCAGAAAATCCAAACTGCTAAGGCAGGCATTACCACTCATGTAGCTGGCTCAGGGCCCCTCCATGCTAGAAACAATAGGGTTTAGTGTGTGGGACTTTTCTGAAAACTAATTTTTCTTTTAATGTTGTTAGCTTTTCGGATTACAAAAGTAATACCTGTTTGTTATAAAATATTCAAATTCTATAGAAATGTATAAAGTAGAAAGTAAAAGTTTCCTGTATTCCAACTCCCCTCCCCCCCCCTTAACAGTTTGGGGTATATCCTTCTAGACCTTTTTCTGACCATATATTAACTGTACTCACAAATATACGCCACCACCCCCTACACACACACACTGTATTGATGACTGAATACAGGTGTTTTAAAGTGGAGACATTTGACTCTGGATAAGAAATAAATAAAATTTCAGTTTTTAAAATTACCAAGGACAGTAAAAGATAAAGCAGATGTTTTCCCTTCAGCCCTGAGCTGGTACTTTGTTCTGTTCTTAACATCCTCCTCCCTGCTCATCCCTGTGACAAACGGGCCTGGTACTGTGCCCTGAGTCACGCGTGTCGGGAAGGTCCGACGTGACGTTGTGTTAAAGAAGGTCGGTGCTCACCCTCCAGTCCGGCCAAGGATCCCCCTGCCCCTGGAGAGAAGAGGGGCACTCACTCAGCCCTCCTCTCTCCCCAGGTACTACCATGGCACGGACTATGAGATGGACCTCACTCCCCTTGAAAGTCCCACGCATCTCATGAAATTCCTGACCGAGAATGTGTCTGGAGCCCCAGAGTACCCAGATGTGCTCAAGAAGAATAACCTGATGAGCTTGGAGGGGGCCGTGCCCACTCCGGGCAAGGCAGCTCCCCTCCCCGCAGGCCCTGGCAAGCTGGAAGCTGGCTCTGTGGACAGCTACCTGCTGCCCACCAGTGATGTGTATGATAACAGCTCCCTCAACTCCTTGTTTGAGAGCATTCATGGGGTGCCACCCACACAGCGCTGGCAGCCTGACAGCACCTTCAAAGATGACCCACAGGAGGTGAGGGCCCACCCCCATACCCCTCACAGCATCCCTGGATATGTGCATGCATGTGCAGAAGGGGAGAAGACAGTGAGGAGATCAGAGGTTTGGAATCCATGGGGTGAAAAGTCCTAGAGCAGAGGCAGGTTTGCCATGTACTGTTGTTCCAGTTGTGCACTAAACAACCTGCACAGCTGTATGGAGCAGGCCCGGGATGAGGCCCCAGCAGCCTGAATGTGGCCATTTATTCTCTCTGAATTGTGTTTCTCTGCAGTCACTGCTCTTCCCAGATATCCTGAAAACGTCCCCAGAACCCCCGTGTCCAGAAGACTATCCCAGCCCCAAGAGGTAACTCAGCTGCTCTGGAACTTTGGCCACTTGGGCAGTAGGCCGGGGGCTACAGACAGAGCCTCATACTGTCCCCAGAGTAGCCATCATCAATGAATGAGAAGAGGAGAGTGAAGGCACATGAAAGGAAAGAGACTGACTTCTCCATTTGCTTCCTGGGCTGGCAAGGGGCTCAGAGCCCTGTTTAAAACACTGAGGTTCTGAGGCACCTGGGTGGCTCATTCGGTCAGGCTGCCTGACTTCGGCTCAGGTCATGATCTCATGGTTCATGGGTTCAAGCCCCACATCGGCTCTCTGTC